CATGCGTCGTCGGTACAACTCCGTCAAAGATGAAAAACATCGCAACATCTCTGTTCAGAAATCTGGCACTATTTTTCTCATGTCTTGTAACGATATCTCCCACCTTATCTCGTAGATTGAGTAATTTGAGCGCACCCTTTTCAGTAAGGTATATCGATGAAGGAGTCATTTTTACTTTACCATCGAATTTATGGAATTGTCGTAGGTGAACGAATACTTCATTGTTATATGAAGTAACACTTACGCATTTGGGTCTAAAATCTTCTCCCACACCTATTTGAAATCTAACAAATTCACACGGTGTCTTACCGTTTGGATACATAGTATTCAACAACCCCAACCCTTGCTCTATAAGACTTTGTCTGTCTCCTCAATTTCGAATCTGTGAAATATCCATCCAGGAGATCAACATCAGAACTTTCCGAACTCTCGAACCATCGACTCTATCGTAAGTGAACGAATGCTTCACCATTGTAAGAGATAACACTTTCGTATTTAGATGAGGTGAGTAGTTCATGTTTGTGATGATAAATTCCAAAAACTAGGAGAAGAAACCGGAGAAGAAGAACAATTTATTATGTTGATAGTGACTAAGCGTCACCAACAACCGTTGTGAAGACCTTTCTGTAGCTATACAAATACCTTCTATTGTTTGGACACTTGACCAAGAAGATGCTCGTTTTAAAGTTGGTCAACCGGGCGCTCGTGATGGATGACGGCACAAATATCGATCCCTCTCAAGAAAGAGCTATTGACCCAGTACGGAGACTGGAGGTAGTATTATTAACCTGTATCAAATGTATACTGATCATTTTCTTATGAAGAAAAACAAAATCACTTATTGTATGTAATGTTAAAGCAAACAGCAGAAAGACATTAACATCAGCATAGGTGGAACCAAACTACTACAGGTGGAAAAGTTTGTTTACCTGGGAGGTACCATCACTCAATCAGGAAAATGTGCAGATATCCCCCCAATATTTCAGGTGGGGGGGGGGGGGGAGTGGCCTGTACAATCATCCCCCCAATAATTCACCATCACCCCCCCCCCCCCAAAAAAAAAAAGTGAAGAGAAAAATTAATGATGAGAGCCCGATGGAGAGTAGTTAATGGTTATTACTCGCAAGATGACCATCAATATACACATTTTGCTATCACATTTTCATAATACATACATATATAAATAGAAAACGAAGTAAATGAGACAACCTTATAGGAGACAAGAATAAATTGAAATCTCGCTCATACGGTTTCATCAGGAATTGATGGATGTATACAATTTATTCAATCAACAGCATTATAGAAATGCAGTGCGCCAAATGCAAAGCCGCAGCGTTAAAAAGCAACGAGCTAAATGTTAAGCGCAAAGCGCAAAAGTGCAAAAAAAGAAGTAGAGAGTGGGAGAGAGAGATAATGAGAGACAGAGAGGATACAGGCGCGTATGCAGGGGGCGGGGGCGGTCGCCCCCCCCCAAAAAAAAAAGAGAGAGAAAGAAGAAAGGAAGAGGACGTTGGAAGAAAAAGGATTATATTAAGAGTCGAGAACGGTACAACGAATCGTCTTGTTTCTCTAATAATTTAATGAAACGTCAAAGCTTCCGCGCTACGCGGAGGAAGGGGAACCTGGTTCAAACAAGGATTAAGAGTCGAGAATTAACGGTACAACGAATCGACTTCTTTCTCTAATAATTTAATGAAACGTCAGAGCTTCCGCGCTTCGCGCGGGAGGAAACTCCCCCCCCCTGCACCCCCCCCCCCCTAGGGAACGCGCTTCGCGTGCTCACTACCGCCCCCCCTAAAATAAAATCCTGGCTACGCGCTTGAGAGGATAATAACCCAGGTACAAAGCCCATATGGGACCCACATGGGTCCCATATTATCTGAAATGTTATCTTTATCGAGGGTGACTTGAAAAAAGTTAATAACTTGGAAGGGAGGGGTGCAACCTGCCATACGCTTCTACCTCTTGGTTGCTTTGATCCATTGCCGAAAATATTTTGGCACCTATCATCCCCCCCAACCACGGATACAAATCGACACCCCTGGTAGCCACAAACATAGTTGACGACAGACTTAACTCCGTTTCGTTGCCAATCAGCCGTAGACAGGGAAAGAAGAATCCCAAATCAGTTTGCGAGAGGATATGAAAATGTTAAATGTGTCGTATAAATGTAGATACCAGATGTAATAAGAAATAGAAATGTGGTACGATTAGATAAGCAATACACAGAAACATCAGTGTTACTTGTCGACCTTGAATGAAAGATCAAAGAAATGGAAAGGCAAACCATGGGCAAACATTATTATAAAAAAGCGTCAAAATAATCCGACCAGGAGCAAAAACATTCGGTGTTCAGTATGAATTTGAGTGTCGACAAGACGAAAAATTGGGATAAAACAAAAACGGCAGTGTACCAAATCTATGCTTTGCGTATACTGTCGTAGGCTCGTAGCGATGTCGCTATTCCCATGAAAGGATGTATTACCCATGAGGAATATCTACATGGATATTACAATTATTGATCCCTTTTATCAGATTACTATAGCATCGACATGTTCAGTGCTTTTCCGTAAGTTATTTTTTAGAGAAAGACAATAGGTTTAATTCTTAATGGGGGTATAATGAAACCATCTACTAGTTCCATGGTTGGCTATGGCATGGATCATGCCCATCGAGATGCTCACGAAACGAAAATGCATTGTTTCGTGTATGATAAAACGTATGATATTGGATGACCTAGATACGATCCTTATGGCTTTTGATAAAAAATTCCGTTCAACTTTCTTAAGGGGGTTTCTCTTGATCAGAGGCGGCCCTCCCGGGGGGGGGGGGGGGCAGGGGGGAACAGTGCCCCCCACTTTTTCAAGCACCCGAAAAGTGCCCCTTTTTACATAGGAAAAGTGCCCCTTTTACTTTGACATGGGCCCCTATTAATTTGTAAAAGTGCCCCTTCCCCTTTTCAACTCTGATAAGTGCCCCTTGTTTGGACACGTGCCCCTTTTCCTTCGACAAGTTCCCATTTTCCATTCTCATAGGTGCCCTTTTTAATCTCTAGTAAGTGTCCCTAGTTAGGTACGAGAAGTGCCTCTTTTCACTTTTGATAAGTGCCCCCTTCACCTCTGATTATTGTCCTATTTAAATCTGAGAGGTACGTGCCTCTTTTACTTTGACAAGTGCCCCTTTTTCTTTGTAAGAAGTTTCCCTTTGAATAACTTCCCCCATTTTAACTCGGATAAGCGCACCTTATATTTTCACATGTGCCCTTTTTCCTTTCTAATAAGTGCCCCTTTTTTCCTAATGAAAAGTGCCCCGTTAAAAAAGTGCCCCTTCCCCTTCTCATAAGTGCCCCTTCTCTGGTAATTGACCCATTTCAGGTCCGAGAAGTTACTCCTTTCACTTCAGATAAGTGCCCCCTTCACCTCAGATAAATGCCCCTTTAAAATCTGATCGGTGCCCATTTTCTTTTAACTAATGCACATTTTCCTCTATTACAAGTGCCCCTTTTTCATTCCCCTAAGTGCCACTTTTTATATCTGGTCATTGCCCCTTTTTAGGTGCGATAAGTGCCTCAATTCACCTCTGATAATTTCCCTTTTAACAATATAAATAATAATCTTATAAATGCGCCTATCAATATCCTTTTCCGTCGACAAATGCACATTTCTTTTTTCTCATGACTGACTTGTTTCATCCCTGGTGAGTGCCTCTTTTAGAGAATGTAAGAACTAAGTGCCCCATTTTCACCTCTGATAATTACTCTTTGTACTTTGGCACATGCTCCTTTTCTTTCCTGATAAGTGTCCCCCTTTTCTCTCATCATTAAACGCGCCCTAGCTAATTTCAAGCGACTAGGAGCAATTTCCCCCAAAGCTCGCTCGCTACGCTCGCACTCATCTATAGCTGATATAATACTTATCAAAGTTCTTTTCAGTCTTCCGTTATGAGAATGTGCTTATAATACCTGTAATAACCCCACCAGGATTTGTTTTTCCTCTTTATAAGATAGAATTTTTCGCACTGCGACCTCACACATCTTAACATTTTTCCTCGCTCACTTCGCTCCCTCGCAATTTTTTTTTTAGACAATCAAACCCAACTGCAAGGCATGATGCTTAAGCAATGGTGTATAAAGTGAAACAAATACTGAAATCATCCCTGATTGTTGTAATCACAATGTATGGGTATATACCAATTTCTAAAAAAATGTATATTTTCGCTTTGAGATTTCCCTTTGTAGGTGCCCTTTTTTCCCAGAAAGTGCCCTTTTTTCTTGGTGCCCCCCCCCACTTTGGAAGTCGCTCGGCCGCCCCTGGTCTCATTTCATGAATATTGTAATTTCACATGATTAACTTTTGTACGGTTATATTACACATTTGAAGTTATACTTTGTAAATTTATGTTGTATATTTATGATTATGTCATAAAATAGATACGTTACGTTTCTCGTAATTTTGGAGTGCATAATATTAATGAATACTTTACCGTTTCTCGTAACTTTGGAGTGTATAAATTATATTAAACGTCATCAAAACAGACAACTATTGAGTCAAAACTTCTATTGTAAACGTCGTAAAGTTAATGGTGAGAAAATAACTGTCGATGGAGAAAGAAAGTCAGAGAGTCGTGAGAGAATATGGAAAAAGTTCGTAATGGTGAAATGTCTCGAAGGAAAGTATGAAAAGGATTCATTTAGGATGAAAGAATGTAAAAGAGTCGTAATGGTGAACTGTGTAAAACGAGAGTCAAAGAGTCGTGATGGTAAAAGTATGGAAAGAAGAGTAGAAAACCTATAAAAAGAGAAATGTTAAAGGTAAAATTGTTTTTGAAAGGAAACAAAGTCCGACTTGATGAAATTCTCTATAGCCTACGTGATGTCGATGTGATGATGATGAAAATGTTGATAATTCGGTTGATAATAAGACACTCGGTCGGTACGGTCAATCGGTCACATCGATTTTAGATCGACCGAACTATTCTAAGGTCGAGCTTCATCCAGCTAGCTACAGTACGCCACATCAGTCCGTATTGATTGTCTGCACTCTATCTTCATCCACAGGAAGTAAAATAGTTATACAAACAGGCTAAATTCAGAGTCAAATCGTAACCTATGCGTAATGCAGCTAGATGTTTGTAATCTGTAGAGATTGAAGTTTCAAGTAATTTTCAGTTCGACGTCCAATGAGGTAAGTGCGAACATGTTCAATGAGTTATGTTTGTGTCCGAGTGTACTGCGAGCGAGCGGAGCTAGTCGGAGCCGAGGCCCGAGGCCGTCAGGCATCCTCCCCGCTACTTGCTCTTGGGCTGTGGCTGAACAACGATTCACGGGGGGGGGGGGGGGGGGGGGGGGGGGGGACACGTGCCCCCTGGTAAATAAAAAAGTGGGGAAGGGGGGAAAGAAAAAGGGACAAAAGGAGAAAAAGGAGGGGGAAAGAAAAGAAAAGGGAAGAGAGAAAGAAGAAGAAAAGAGGGAGGACAGAAAAGGGGAGAGGAGAAAAAGGAAGAGGAAAGGAAGAAAGGTGAAGTGAGAGGGGAGAGAAAAGGGGGAAAAGGAGAATAATGAGAAGGGAGAGAAGAAAGAAAGGGGATGATAATAAGAAGGTGTTGCTTTTTACCGGGAAAGGGGCGCACAAAATTTTACAGTGTGCATAATGGGGTCCCTCTTGCCAGGCGTGTAGCCCCATAATGAATCGTCTTCTTTCTTTCTAATAATTTAATGAAATGTGAAAGCTTAAAGGTAATACAAAGTTTTGGTATGGGGTAATGAATTTGGTTCAAATGAACATATTGGAAGCATATACGATCCTACAATATTCAGTGATCGTTGTCGCGGTTGAAATCGAGTCTAAAGTTATGAAATTGTAAATAATAAACTCTTTATGTTGTATAGCTCCCTCTGTAGGTCAAGATATTAATTAAGCTATAAAACAACGTTTTTAACTGAAATCGACCGATTTGCTATTCCCGTTTGGAAATTATATACCACAACTACATATTCTGAGATTTTCATGGTCGCAGCTACCATTGTACGGTCATAGGCGCTATTTGAAAATTTACCGGGAGCACCGGTAAATTTTTATATTAAATTTTTCTCGAAAGCAGAAGTGTCTTAGGGGCTAAATTATCAAATTTGTAAAGAATCATTATCAACCCGATTTTCAAATTTTCCCAAAACTTTGTATTGCCTTTAAGCGGGAAAATATAATTTCAAGATCACATCGAAAATTATGCTGAAGCTGAAAACATCAAAATTTGGCGACTTACTTTCAGTTTAGCTAATCTGCCAGTTTACTTGAAAAATGCGCGATGAGGACAAGCAAAACCTCCCATCACTTACCCATATGATGTACATGTACAGTACATGTACATCAGTCTCTGACCCCAAGAAAACTTATCACGCAGTGTCACTTACTAAGAGATATGCAGGCCAGAAGCCTGTCTGTAAATCGGAGACACCATGAAAAAAAAAAAAAATTGTCTGACACCTACATGTACATTGCATTCTATGACAATGTGTCACCACACTTTGTCAGTGCCTGCATCGGTAAAAATTGGGGATTGTGATAAAGCAAAAAAAATCCTGGCCAAAAAGAAAATTTTGACTTTTAACTGTAGCTCGCTTTTGCTGACCCTCTTTCTAAGCAGGAGGTGTGAGACTCTAATTCTGTTTTCACACTGGCAATATTTTTCTTAACCCCGTACTATAGGTGGGGTTAAAGGGGGGGGGGGGGGTTTGGCCCCACCTATAGTCTTGGGTTAAGCTTATTCCACTTTCTTTTTACACTGGCAAACATTTGCTTGACCCCGTACTATAGGTGGGGTTAAAGGGGGGGGGGGGTCTTAGCCCCACCTATAGTCCGGGGTTAAACCTTTTCCACTTTGTGTTCAGACTCGTATTTACCAAAGTGGGCTAGCCCCACCTATAGTACGGGGTTAGCTGGCCCTGCAAAATAGCAGGGCTGACCCCGCAATTGTGGTGCTAAATCCTGCTAACTCTGCAATTGCAGTGCCAAGCAAATGAATGAGAACAGAAACAAAAAATAGTCTGGGACTACGCAGTGGAGCGAATTAATGAATATTCACACTTTGGCTAGTACGGGGCTAAGGAATTGCAGTGAGGTAAGCCAAAAAAGTTAGTCTGGGGTTAAGGATAGAACGGGGCTAAGCAAAGTACAGGGTTAAGCAAAACAAGTGTGAAAAGGCCCCTCACCTCCCCCCATGGAACACTTTTGTGTGCTGTACAATAGGCCATAAGCAAGTCACTCACAATTCCCTAATTATGTTCAGCATGATAGCTAGTGTGTATCTATAATTTATTTTATGAAACAGTTTTACCACCTTACATACAACAATGGCCCCACAGTACATTATAATATACAGTACCGGTTTGCCTACATATATTTTCCAAGCTCATGCAATACAGGGTAGGCTGGGTGTGAATCCATACCGGTAATTGATTTTGTTGAGTGGGTGGTTTGTGCAAGGTCCATGTAGACTTTCTTTAGATATTTGTTATACATGGATAACTGACTTCCAATCCAGTATGTATAGAGCTGGCTTTCCGGTTCATTGTTTGAAACCTGTATTGATTTTGTTCTCTCTTTTTATCCCAGAGTTGACTCATGCTTTTAAAGCTTCTTTGTTCCATGTTTCCTTTTTAATCCTCTCAATACAAGGTCTGTCTGTGTAATGTTTCTCTCCTTTAGGCCATGGGATATACTACCTCCACACATACAGTATTCAAATATAGAAAATGAAAAGGTACATGTATACCCTGTACTTTGAAATGACTCTTGTTTTCCTCTTTGAGGGGATGGGGGGATGGTGGACTCAAAGAGTAAAATGTTCATGTACCACTTGGCTAGATCATTAGCCTACAATCTCTATATTCATTGAATTCTTCTGAAGTACATTGTAGGTACATGTACATGTACATGAGTTTGCTATTTGTAAGTTGTATTATAATCAATGAGTTATTTTGAGATGTTATGAATCACTTGATTGACACATCAGAGCTCCCAGTGAAAGTCTGCAATGTGTCTGATGAGGTTATTGTTATCTTGCAACTTCTATAATCATATAAAAGAAAATTAAAGAAATGAAAGTAAGACAAACAACAACAAAACTCCCAAAACTCTAATTCCATTTTATAATTTGCAACACTGACTGGCTTAAATAATTTGTTTGGAAGGGTGTGAAGAAATGTGATTTTAACAAAAATATTGAATAACTTTTTAATCTCAAGCAATATGTAAATGAGCTTGGTTTGGTAAAGAGAATCCTGTTCATACAGGATGTGATTCTTTACTCTTAGCTTGTTTTGCATCCTGTTAAACCAAGGAGTTACCAGCACTCATTCAGTCCTTGGTTTATAAAGTACGCGACAACCAGATGCTGGTGATTGTACGTCACGGACAGATACAGATATTCAATTCAATTCAATTCAATTTTATTTCATTCAGTTTAAAAAGACAACATTTCATATAACAACCAGCTATATAACATAAAATACACATTACGAACATATTTGACATTTGGACATAAAGTAAACTGAATAGGTTGCAACCTGAAAGGAAAAAAATAATCCTTATATAAAGGTTGACCCTTTATAATGTACATGGATATAAGCTTGCTTGCCCAATTACATGTAGCCTTGTTTACATGTACATGTACATTCATGTATGTGATAGTGTTATGGAAGATAGATGGCAAAACAATGATGGCTTGGGAATCCGGCCTTGACCTAGATCTACATGTACTGTAGGCCTACTGTGATCTACTTTTTACATGTAGGCCTGCATGCCTGTACATTGTAATATCTAAACTTCTCAACCTGTAGCCTAGGGAGGGCCTGCCTGTATGAGTAATGCATTACAACCTGTTCACATATTGACAAGGGGACTACATGTACACTTTGTTTAAATGCCTTGATGTACATGCATATATAATTGTACACATTTCTTCATTTCTTGTACAACATCATTACATGTAGGGTTGTAGTAAATTTGCAATTTTAGATTATTAGCAAAATCTTCTTTCATCTATTTTGTTTAAATGGCCGCTAATACGTATGAATACTTGTGGCAATTTAGAAAATTTAATCATGTGTACATTTAAAGTAATATTTTGCAATGTTCCTGAATTGATGAGTAATTCCTGCATGTAGAAATTAGCGAATTGAAAGTTAAAAATATAGCTGAAAATAATGAGATCTCTGTACGATATGAATGTGGGAGCAGAGTGTTATACAGTAATGCTTTCAGGGCAATACCAACATGAGTGTATTATTAAGATTGAGTGATTTGGTTTCTCTGAAATTGACTGGTGCAGGGTGTGCTGATGATGGAGGTGAGTCATCGGTAATGCATGTACATTACACATAGTCTAAAACATCTTTATATATCATCTATGAGATTCCTTTGCTCTTCAAATAGGCTACTGTGTACATAGTGTACTCCTGAGTACATCTACACATACAGTACAGTAGATACTCGGTATACATATTGAAGCAAGAGTTTGCCAAATTGCAGAACTTCAGTGTTATAACTTGTGATTCGATCAACATGGCATGACGACACCTTAGCAAGTGTACATGTTTATTTCTCAGGGAAATTTGTGAAAGTTCATATGTTCACATTTTTTGTCTGCCGCCTTCCTTCGCCCTTTTTTAAAGTTGTGAAAGTGATCATGATTCCAAAATCAAGCAGGCCCTACATGTACAATGTAAATGTGCATTGCTTTATTCCATAATATACCGGTACATGTCTTTATGGTAAATTTGACTTGAGTTGCGGTGCATTAGGAAAGAAAGGAGCCTTGCCAACCGGATACCGTATTTGCCGGCGATAAGGCCGCACCCCCAACTTTGACATTTCATAGAGGGAAAAAGAAAAAAAAAAAAAAGAGATTAAAAAAACCCGGACCAAACGAAGTACGGTAATTGTAATTTTCTTGTAGAACACTTTTTTTTTACAAACTGATACCAAATTCATCAATATTCTAATAAATTTACAAGAAGTTTACCTAAAAAATGATCGTAATTTAGCAGATCTTCATAGATTTTTAAGCTAGTACCGGTACTGTATCGCACACAGATTTGGTATCCTACAATACCCCTACCACGATGTGCGGTGTAATCCGGAATTGCGTTTTCGACCTGCGCTGTTGCATTGCACGGCATCTGCTAGCTCCGTAAGTAATGGTCTGTCCCTTCTTTTACTTTTTTGGCGATGCAATGGTACGGACTTAGATCTACATGTGTGTAGATCTATCGGCAGATTTTTGTTAGAAAAATAAGTTATGCTTTTTTTTTTCATCTTCATGTCAACTATGCATCATAAAATTGTTGGTAAGTTGTGTGGAGTTATTCTAGAATTGTCTAGTCATCCTAGTCCCATATGTTCAAATGGAAGTGCTGTTTTGATCGCTGAATTTTGTTGTAGGTTGTTGTAAAGGCCGCACCCCAACACTGCGACCTTATCGCCGGCAAATACGGTAGTAGTTTTCACATGAATTATCAAATGCATTTCATGCACAAGATGTTAAGGCGTGGTGAGATATAAATTAAATTAGAGTTTGCAGTAAAATATTTTGTTGTTGTCCAGCTAAGTGTAAACATTGAACAATCACTTTCCCTGAAGAGCGTACACATACATGTAAAGGTCAACATTTAAAACAAAAATTGCTTGAAAGATATCAAGTAGATTCTTCAACATTACTCACATCTACATGTACATGTAGTGTTTAAGTTTACAGTAAAATAGTTTTGATTAGCAGTACCGTAAGCCTACAACTATACATAGATCTGCCCCCAGAGTACAACAATAATTTGTTGATGCCTTATTATCCTCCCAGACGCTTTTAAGATCATCCGATTCTAAATTGCTTGTTGTTCCGAAAACTAAGAAATCATGCGGGAATCTGTCATTTGCACAAACTGGACCTTACCTTTTTTTTTTGTACTTTTAGTTTTTCTTCTCCATTCCGCCTCGAACACATTATTCGTGTTGAGTTGGTGCATTAAAAATACTCTATAATAAGTACATGTATGTGAAATCTATTTTCTATCCTAACACATAATTTTTGGACGTTTGCAGTCTTTATTCAAGTTTGATTGATTTTTATCATGTGTGCAATGTACAGTATGAAGCTTAATGGTTTGGACATGAACCGACAAGAACTATTACATCAAGATTCTCGTCATATATTGGTTTTTTTTTATTTGTATTATGTTTATAGCTGTGAGTTGAAAAACAAGCCTACTGAGTGCAAATTACCCCTGGGCTCCATTGTCTAAAACTTATCATTAATTAACGGCAACGTAATACCATCAATGGTAAGTTTTATGCAATAGGACCCAGGAACTTAATTGGCAGGAAGTACTAAAAGCACTCTGCAATGTTGCCAGGTAGGCCTACCTTGTAAAACTTCTAATACATACATTTATGACTGTGACTGCCAAGGCGAACTCATTACCAAATACCATTACCAATGAATATGTGGACTACAATTAACTTTTCTGTATAAATTTTGTGTGCGGAAGCATCCTCTCTCTCTCTCTCTCTCTCTCTCTCGCTATCTCTCTCCCCCTCTCTCGCTATCTCTCCCTCTCGCTATCTCTCCCCCTCTCTCTCTCTCTCTCTCTCTCTCATGCTCTCTCATGCTCTCTCTTTTCCCTGTAGCATAAATAATCATATAGGCCTGGATACATTATTGATTACAGAATAGAGTAAGAATTGTGCTGTTATGTGGATGGATTTTGTTTACTAATAGAAACCAATGGTTATTGTGTCTCCTGAATGTAGGTACTGATGATCATTGGAAGAAAAGGAATGACAATGAAAAAGACAGATAATTCAAGTCGGTGAAGATGATGTAGAGTTCTACCTCACCACACAAGGAGTCCTCAAGGTGTCATCATTCCATTGATGTTGTGCTGATTGATAGAAACATGACCTGCTAAGATGGTTAAGTGAGAGTTTCATCAAGTCACCTACAGACTTACTACCCCACAATCGGGGGCAGTGGTGATCGTCATATTTAAACAGCTAGCACCTCCTCTACAGAGCTGGAGTGATGCAATCATTGGGACAGACAAAGTAGCATAGCCCTGACTGTGCTTAAGTGAGGAATATCACTTAGTCTAACCAGAAGAGGAAAGAAAGAGTTAAAAATGACGACATTATCAGACATTTCTCGTGAGAATCTGACCACTTACAAGTTGGTTGTGGTAGGAGATGGAGGCGTGGGCAAGAGTGCTATCACGATACAGTTCTTCCAGAAACTCTTTGTAGCAGACTATGACCCCACCATTGAAGACTCTTACATTCAACATACTGAGATTGATGGTGATTGGTGTATACTAGATGGTAGGTAATCATTGAAGACTCTTATATTCAACATACTGAGATCGATGGTGATTGGTGTATTCTAGATGGTAGGTAATCATTGAAGACTCTTACATTCAACATACTGAGATTGATGGTGATTGGTGTATTCTAGATGGTAGGTAATCATTGAAGACTCTTACATTCAACATACTGAGATTGATGGTGATTGGTGTATTCTAGATGGTAGGTAATCATTGAAGACTCTTACATTCAACACACTGAGATCGATGGTGATTGGTGTACTAGATGGTAGGTAATCATTGAAGACTCTTACATTCAACACACTGAGATTGATGGTGATTGGTGTATTCTAGATGGTAGGTAATCATTGAAGACTCTTACATTCAACATACTGAGATTGATGGTGATTGGTGTATACTCTATGGTAGGTAATCATTGTGTGACCCACGACATTCAACAGTATTGGAAAAACCTATTTTGTTTGATTACTAAAGTAATGATATCACAGCTTACATCTTTGATGGTTTACAGTACATAGTTTTTACAGACTAAAACTATTTAAAAATGTATACCCATTAATGAAGCGCATACTACTGGTACATTGACCTAGCATTGTGCTGGGCACGAGTTGTAAAAATCCAGATGAAATTTGCTAATCTAGTAGAGCCCAGCTATTTTAACTTTAAAGGATACATGTAGACCCCAAACATGTATTTTAAGTTTTACATTGATGCATGATTATTTGCATGACCTCGACTTACAAATTCCTAACTTTCATTTGACTGCCGCTGTTATGCAAAATGGTAACAGATAACAAGACATACATGTAACTCACCTTTAATATTATACTTTTATATCCACCATGGTACTGTAATCATTTCAAATATTGAGCAAAGAAATGTTCTTGCATTTCATGTACATGTACATTTATAGCTATGACAATTACAACAACTATACATGAATGTATTAAAGAGAATAATTAAATTATGATTCCATAAATGTACAATGTATACAATGTAATATTCAAATAGTGATAAACATTCTTTTTGTTTGTGTTTTCTGCTTTCACTCGAGGCAACTTTCTGAATGTTTGGTTTCTGTACATTTTACAGCTACTTGACTCAATACTACAAGCAGTTGTCTCTAATCTAACTGTATGTTTGATTTGTCTCTCTTTCATTTTATGTAGTGTTGGATACTGCTGGTCAAGAAGAGTTTTCTGCAATGAGAGAGCAATATATGAGGACTGGTGATGGTTTCCTTCTCGTCTATTCAGTCACTGATAGAGCCAGCTATGAGAACATGAAAGCTTTTCATACTCAGATTCTCAGAGTCAAAGACAAGTAAGTAACCTGTTTAGGCCTGATAATTACCTGAATCCCTCCCCCCAATTTTCCTTATTTTTTCCTTATTTTCCCAATTTCCCCTGATTTTTTCCCAATTTTCTTTCTCAAAAGGGGGGAATGTTGTTAGATATAATTTTTTTCCTGAATCCTTTTTTTTTTTTTTTTTTTTTACTCAAGTGGGGTAGGGGGGGGGGGGTAGGTGGTTGAGAAAAAAAAATCAGGGGTCAGTGAAACATTATCCCCCTCCCCTTCCCCAAATTGAAGTTCAGACATCCTGTTAAACATGTATGTGTGAATCCTGCCACTTTCACACTTCACACTTTCAGACATCCATACATGTAGATTACCACCTGGTCACACATAGAGCTCCATGAGATGATAACAAATTAACAGAGAATAATTTCACACTCAAATACTCATAGACTCATAACTCTTTCACTCATGATGCCTCTTTCACACTAGATCTATTCCTTGAGTGAACTTCAGTAGATTCCTTACTGGTAACCCTTTGTTCTCCTTTTCTTTTCTTTTTTACTCCAGTACTCATGCACGTCTTTCTCTCAAAATCTTTCTTAGGATTGTGTAAGCCTCTAGAGATCCTCGCATGTAGAAAAGGCAACAAGAACTTGAAATATATTTCAGAGTCAAAGCTGGTCACACATGTTCAATATACTGCCATCTCAGTTGCTAGCCCTGCAAGAAATGATTGCATTATAGTGTGTCTCTGATGCAATGATCCCATGTGCTATTATTTTACAGAGACTCGTATCCCATGATCCTTGTTGCCAACAAAGTGGACCTAGTACATCAGAGGAAGGTAACGGAAGAAGAAGGCAAGAATGTAGCTGCAGAATTAGGGGTAAGTGAATGTATCTATGGGAAGGGGATGATGGTAAAGGAGAGGAAAAGCTGGCATTGCAAATAACAAATAAATACTGTCAAACCATTACTGCTACAGGCTTGAAGCTTTTGTGCTACAGAAAGACTAAATTACAACAATGATTTTTTTTGTTGAAAATTGCATTTTTTTTTTTGCTACAGAAATGGCTTCTACAGTAATTTGTGGAAAATTTAGGTGACAACATTTTCTAGTTTTGCGCATGTTCATATGCCAAAAAATATAATCCAAAATTAACCAGAATTCAACAATTTTTTTGATCATGCACAGTTATCTGTGATGAACAAATGAAAACAATACAGGCCAGGGCGTAGCAGCAGTTCATTACATGTACATGTGGACATCATTGAATATTTTATTTACCCATCATCCAACTAAATAATTCATCCACTCACAGAAGTCAGAGAGAAGCATGACTGTCATAACATCAATTTAATACACATTAGGACCAAACTATGAATGCATTTCTAAAGAAAAGTCAATACATGTATGGTACTGTTAATCAACGAACACTGTCTAATAACATAATTGTTTTGTTTGTTTTGACTGCTTTGTTACAGCCTATTCCTTATATTGAAACAAGTGCAAAAGATCCTCCTAAGAACATTGACGCAGCCTTTCATGAAGTAGTGAGGGTAATCAGGTACGTACGTACAAAATAATTAATTGAATACTAGCCCCAGTGCAGGACTATGCTACAAATGTACCATCACTGCTAGCTGAAGGTACCTAACTGCTGGGGTAGGCTGCTGGGATAGGATGCTGGGATAGGGTTGCAAGTAAGTACAAAATAATTAATTGAATACTAGCCCCAGTGCAGGACTATGCTACAAATGTACCATCACTGCTAGCTGAGGGTACCTAACTGCTGGGGTAGGCTGCTGGGATAGGGTTGCAAGTAAGTACAATATCATTAATTGAATACTAGCCCCAGTGCAGGACTATGTACCATCACTGCTAGCTGAGGCTACCTAACTGCTGGGGTAGGCTGCTGGGATAGGGTTGCAAGTAGTCAGAGGGTTAAGATAAAAGGCAGTGTGGTTATGCAGCAATACACAATGTAGTGACCCTTGAAATATTGTTATAACGCTGTCATTTCCTAGATTTTTTAAATTTATTTTTGATTTACCAAATAAGGTGTTTCTTTGTCTCTTTGTCCCCCCACACCCGTTATTGGAAGCTGTCACTAGTTGTCCCATCCAAGTTAGGACAATATAGAATGTAATGTCAGTGAATGAATCCAATGTCTAACAAGTCTGTACCTTTCACTGATCTGAAAAAAATGAAGTCTGCATGATAACAATTTAGAATTAGTTCAAATCAGTTTCTTGTGAATTTAATTTCTATTATCAGAACTTAAGATTAGTTTCAACACATAAGTGATGTGAATTCACATGTATGTCAAGTGTTTTCTTTGTTCTTTCTTTATTGTGTGTAGGAGACAGCCCGTGGACTCGAATAAGAAAGATAGAAAAAGGGATAGGTGTATTCTACTGTGATATGCTTGTAAACGCAGGGTGCCAAACGGCCTGTAAAGGAGAATGGGAGTTTTTAAAACCAGGGTGCCAATGGGCCTGTAAAGGAGAATGGGAGTTTTTAAAACCAGGGTGCCAATGGGCCTGGAAAGGTGAATGGGAGTTTTTACAAATAGGATACCAGTGGACTGATTCCTCCAATCTCATTGCTGGAAGATGAAGCAGACTGTGAAGGACAAGGTATAGAGGAGTCTGGATGATATGTAATGAGTGCTGTCTGTCTGTCTGTCTGTCTGTTTAGTGAATCTGCAACTCAGAGAGTAGAACTTGTAGCTGAGCTCATATTAACTGCTGTTTTTGTAAAGATCAACCATTATATGCAAATTCTTTTCTGAGAACATCAGTAAGCAATTGATATTGCGAATTATTCATTTCTTGATCTCGTGTTTCCCTCCAGTGGATTATTGTATTGTAATAGGGAATGATGTATGCCAAAGTTGAGTTTTTAATTCAGATTCTCAAGCAGAGAAATATGTACAAGTATATATACAATAACTCCAATTTCTTGGATGAATTTCACAGAATATATGATATCATGCATTGAAATTTGTATTTCAATGGACAATTTGTAGTACATGTATACAAGGTCATGATTTTTAATATACACTTTAGGAGTATTTATACAGCTCTTATTTTATCTTCATTTATGTAATGGATGAATATTTATGACCAATTATTTTCATTATAAGTGCATCTGAAATTATAGATTACAATCTTTGTGTCTAATGTCTGCATTTTAACATTAACACAAAATGCCAAATAGGGTATATGGTAGGAAATGTTGGCGAGTATATTTTCTTCCAACATATCTAATACTGTGTGGGTTTATAACAACAAAGTTAAAAGATGAGGATATGTTATACATACCATGTAATGACTTACATACATGTATACATTTATTTATTGGAATTGATACATGATTGTGATATTCTCCTTTTGTTCTTAAAACCATACTCCTTTATTATATTTCAGACATACTTGTATTTTACAATATATATGTCAGAAAATAATGTGCACACTTTTTAAATTGCTTATTGTTTTAAGATGGAGCTATAAAATATGAAATGATTTGAACCTGAGTAACAGAATCATTCCTCCTGCGTTTTTGTGGGGTACCATCTTTAAATTTTGGTGAGTACGATTTATATGTTTTTTTGAATATTGTAACTTCTTATTTTGTAATCTGTAAAACTGAAACAATTCAGCTATCTAGCTGCAAAGTTCTATAACTCTTAATTCTGAAATGTTGTATCTTACCATTTATGTTGGGCTGTTCTACATGGTTGGCTGTACAGAGGTCAGTGTATGGGATAATGTCAACTCCATTTCTACCAACTCCAGGCCACGCCTTGCTCTTACCCTTTTTAGATATGAAGTATATTGACAATGTAGCCCTCGCACATTACAACATGTTTGTAATTGAAGCAAAAATGTGGTGTTATAACAAATTCTGGATAACATGATTTATAAAACCATGATTGAATTGATCAACCAACAAGTCAATTTCAGAGACATCCAAGTGGGAAATATTTATCCTTCAAATTGTGAATATGCCATTGATTTGTTTTGGAAGTGTTTGCAATATTATATCTAAGATAATAAAGGGCTGAAGTAAGTCTATGATGCTATCAAGTGATAAGATATTCCTTTCAAGATACCCAATAAAATATTTAAAAAACTTGTTGATTATCTAAGATATGTGTGTAACATATTAATATGCCATTAATTATTATATCTTTAGTGATTTTCATATGAATTGATGGTTACAATAATAGCATCAAGTCTAAGATGAACATATGTATTAAGACAGAGGCAAGAAAACACCTGGCGTTGGCACGAATGGAGTTTGACATAAACACATGCAATTGAACCTTCTGCAGTCTGCCATGAAGAGTTGTCCAACAAAAAATAGCACCAAAAGAAGCAGGAAGAAGTTCTATTTGTAGCTCCATCTTGCAACAATGGGCAAATTATGAAGTGTGTAATTTTTCTTTCTTGCTCTGTATAAGTAGTTGAAGGGTCTGATTGAAAGCTATATCTGAGAGGATTATAGGAGATAAATAGAGCTTTAATAGTGACCTTAATTTAACTCACAATGTGGAGTACCGGTAGTAAGAAGACTGAAATACTGAATGGAATTTGTTTTTAGTTTTTGTCTATAATTTATCAAAACAGTAAAACAAATATTTGATTAATGGATTTAAAGAGTTTTTATTCTTTGTAGAAAGTTGGCTTTAATGGAAAAAAAAAAAAAAATCAGAAATGCAGGTCAGTGAAAATTTGAGAAAAATTAACAAAGTAGTAAGATTACTAATGTTATCTTCTTCTGACTGGTAATGTTTTCATCTGGTATGATGTCACATGATGAAAATCAAATTGTGAGCATCAAACAGTGAGAACTCACTTTTTGTTCTGTAAAACAGAAGAAAAAAGAAGCAAACTATGTGATACTTCCCCTTGTCCACTTCAATGATAGAACAGACTACAGTATTCATTATCCTGCTATGTGTACATGGTTACATGTATGCTACTCCATCATGAGACTTGAGAAAAGTAAACTACGAGTTATATGGATGGGTTCTTACTATACAATTGCACTCATAGGAAATTCTCCATAATCATATTTATTTCAAAGAGGTGGCATGACTTTAAGAAAGTCTTAATGTTCTTATCGTTTGTCTGAATGTTGAGATCTGTTTCCCTACTCCCTCTTGAGTCAACTTTCTATCAACAGTTGATTCCTCTTTATGTAGCCCTAGAAAACTCATGTATGAAATATACATTCAACATGTTGATAATTGTATATTGTACTAAAGTATGTAAGTGCAATAGTTTGTAGTTTTAAGATTTTTTTGTACAGTAAAAATAAAAGAAGTTTTAAATAAATTGTAGGAATGTTCTTTGTAATGCTCACCAATACATGCTCTAATTCTCCATTCTTGTCAATAATCAAACACCCATAAAGGGATATTTTAATAATAGCCTGCTAGGTATAGCAATAGAAGAATGCTCTTAGTTGGGCATAACAAACATGCTCCAATTCTCATTTCAGTAATTCAGTTCAATATCATTTTAGTGAAAATTATCTATGTTTACTCAACTTTGCTTCCATCTCTTTTGACATATACTTTAATCATGAATGTCATGCTTGTATTAAATCGCTGCCAGTACGAATTAGAATGAGATGGATGTTATTGAAGAGAAACAACATTACACCGAGAATGATTTACACCATGTTAAGAGAGAAGGTTATGTTCTGGTAATTAAAGATGGAAAATCATTTCAAAACGTTCTCATTCTTTTCACACTAGTTTGAAATTTCCCTTAGAAAGATATGCACTTTAAATGTACTGGTATTCAAAATATGACATGAAATAATGTGTACTAAATGTAGTCATATACATACATTTCAATGTGCAGTGTATGCATGCAACTTTCAGCAAGAAGTCTTATTTCTTATCATTTTGATGATTCCAAAGCCTACAGTATAAACCAATTCGTGTGTACTAATTGTTTCCACATACATCTCTTTTGCATTGTCCTTGCTTGGCCAGGAGGGTGTTTCACAAAACTTGTCATCAGTGACAAATGACAGTTTTTGTTATAAGCTACTGAAATCCTTGCTTCTGATTGGTCATCAGCAGATTTGTCACTGACTTTTGTCATTTGTCATTGAAAAAATGCTTTGTGAAACACCCCCTGAGAACTCAACGTTATTTTTATACTGGTGGATACAATGTGAGAAACTAGTTACAGTTATTTTGCTACATTTTGTACCAACTTTCATCCCAGTTTTATGAAATAGGAACCACCAAAATATGTAATGTACATCACTGATTATAACAATTTACAGTTATTTTGCTACATTTTGTACCAACTTTCATCCCAGTTTTATGAAATAGGAACCACCAAAATCTGTAATGTACATCACTGATTATAACAATTTACAGTTATTTTGCTACATTTTGTACCAACTTTCATCCCACAGCTTTATGAAATAGGAACCACCAACATCCGTAATGTACATCAATGATTATAACAACAGTTATTTTGCGACATTTTGTACCAACTTTCATCCCACAGCTTTATGAAATAGGAACCACCAAAATCTGTAATGTACATCAAGGATTAAACTATTTTCAGTTATTTTGCTATATTTTGTACCAACTTTCATCCCACAGTTTTATGAAATAGGAACCACCAAAATCTGCAATGTACATCAATGATTATAAGTGATTAGAGATTTCAATTTGTTTAATTTTCTTTAATGAGCATTGTCTCCCTATATAAACTATACAATTAAGAACACAGTCATACTCAATACACACAACCAAATCAGGTACAGTTTGATGACAGTGTAATTTAAAGATGGTTACTTTGACATTTCACTGTTTTTTCTGTATACATACTGACAATCATCCCACATTTTTATGAAATTTGACCCTCCATATCTAGGATGCAATAAATGTAGCTTTAACGAGGGTTATATTTGGGCATTTAAGACTTGAGTGCTCCAAAAGAAGTTTTTTTTGTCTGCATTTCGTATCAACAGTCATCCCACAGTTTTATGACCTCGGTAGTTTAGAACGTACTAAATCTGCAATATACCCAGTACATGTACATAAATGATTATAAAGGATTGGGATTTAAAAGTTTTTAAAGTTTAAATCGTGGTTATGTGAATTACAAGCATATGGTCCTTGTCAAAATGATGATAAACACTGATTACAAATGAACAAATTAAAGATGGTTGGAAAGATAGTGATATCAGTTACAGATTCAAGTAAAATTTTGCAGTTCTTTGGTTGCATTTTGTACCAATTTTCATCCCACAGTTTTATGTAATAGGAAGCGCCAAATCTTTATCGCAAGAGTTCCACTGGAAAATGTGTTTCCTTGGTTTTGTTTCCTTGTTTTGTACCTGCCAATACTAAAATCATGATGGTATTTTTTTCATGAACCTTTGCTCTTTGAGAGCCCATTTCTGTGAATTAAAAAAAAAATCATTTTGTAGTGCTCAATCGTAGAGTAAATTACAATGTTGTGAAGTGAGTAATGTTTTGTAATATTGTCTGTCATGTACTTAAAATGTGTCATTTTTTATAGTGTATAGTTTGTAAGAGGATTACAAAAAGATCTTCCTTTTTTCTATCTATTAGTGGTCAAATGATGTACTTACATATTGAGTATTGTATTTCCTTTTATGGAATAATACAGAAGCAAAAATCATAATAGATTATTTGCTTGAGCAGTAATACAATCATTATTATAAAGTGGTTAGTTTTAAGAAATAATTTTCTATAAAGGTTCAAGATGTTAAAGGTATGAACATGAGTAGCTGATTGGATGATAGATAGACCTCTATGGATTACATGTCATCAGTAGGATGTCAATGCTCTACTAATCTCTGA